TTTTAATTTGTGGCCAAATGACAACCACGAAATTTTCCCCTCTTTGTAATCACGCCATTCGTAGTAACAAAAATTCGATGAGATATATAACAACCAGGGTTTCTTTATACTACAATGAAACTAGGTTTATTGTTTTAAAGAAATCTAAGCTTTTATTGAATTTTAATTTAGTTACTCTGAAATGAGAAAGTGAATGGTAAATTTTACATTGTTTTCATCTATATAAATGTGGAATGGGGGTGCGCAATAGACTTACCTCCACGTGGTGCACCCTGGGCAACGTATACTTACTCGGCAAAAAAGTCTATTGATCGGCAGTTGACTTCTGACTTCAAATTTCTATGACCCTACTATTATTCATATTCGGAGTACTCATCTTACCTTTTTTATGCCTTTGTGTCTGTCTGTCTCTTTTACGTCTGTGAATCATAATTCTGTCTCCCATCTCGACTTTTTGTCACTTTGATGTCCCTTCTCCTCTTCATGAAGCCCCGAAGTCAGCTCCAGGGCTAATGATAATCATCAAAACGCCTGCCATTTGATATAAATAAATATAAATGTGGAATTGCCAAAAAGTGGCTATTCTTGTTCTACTGTCAGTTAGTGTTGAACGCGGTACTTAACGACAGATCTACGATTTGGGGGTTGGTTAGAGCTCAATACATTCTTTTTTAGTCTAATAATAAATTAGAAGGCGGAATAGGTGTATTTACTCTGGAGAAACATCACTGATGATAGCGTAAAGTGAGGGGGGGGGGGTTAGTAGTTCTCATATTTAAAAGACAGTCTATCAAGATTGAGGTTTTTCCTAAAGGATCCTCCTGTTTGTCAGTTGGAGCAGTGTCACTATCACAAGACCTTGGGCGATGTGTTCTCTTACGGCAAAAAGTCTATAAATAGGTAGTTGACTTCTGACTTCAAACTACCATGACCCCACTGTATATCTTTTTCCACCACTTTTGCAGTACTCACCTTACCTTTTGCCTACCTTTGTGTCTGTCTCTTTTACATCTTTGAAACACTCTTTTGTTCCCCCCCCCCCCACTCTCGACTTTTTGTCACTTTGACGTTCCTTCCCCTCCGTGGAGCCTGAAATTAACTAAATGGCTAATGATAACTATCAAAACGCCTGCCATTTGAAGTAAATTAATATCTAAATGCAGATTGTAAGCTCTCAACTTTTACGGTATAGTCCGCTTTTCGTTTTTTAATGTTTGAATGTTTAAAATATCATCGGTTGAACCCCAGTTTGCTCGCTTCTCTGCACTATTTGTAGGTCACGCATTAGACAGAGTGATAGCAGACAGCCGATAATAAGCACTTTTTGGTTACATTTTATCGATTAAGTATCCATCCTCGACAATTTTGACTGCGATTCAAATTTAATCACTTCAAAATCATGAAGACATTGTTATTATCCCTTCTTAATTGTACCTTGAATAACTAATAATAGCTATTGATCATAGTTTGGGGGGGGGGGCTAATGAGGGTACAATAATAATACTAATATTTTAACATTGAAACGATTGACGTTATGCCGGAAACGAGAATGTAACTGTTGACATGCAAACGTGTCATGTGTTAGTTGTCTTCAGGTTACATTTGGTTAAGAGCTTTCAACTGCATAATAATGAATTTATGGCATTGCTAGAAATTTGTATTTTTACTCGACCTTGTCCCAAGAACCACGTGCTAATTTAGTCAATTCAGTAGTGAATAAATTAGGGCTAATTTGGCCACGAAAATGACAATTAGGGAACATTATGCCGATTCTGTGCGCAAATGTTAATTTTTAATTTTGACAAATAAAGCTTGGTAGCCAAGAAGAATTTTGACAACAATTTGATGGTTGCTTAACTAATGTCCTATGTAAGAGTTAAATTAGGGTGTTGAGGGCGGGAATTCAGACAGAAAATTATGAAGTGGAAGGAGGGGGGGCAATTACTACAACCCCCCCCCCCCCATTTCCATCTCCCCCCCCCCCACCTTCACTCCTTATTGAACTATTGAACCTTCTTCCCTGTAATCAGTGAACAAATTCGCTTCAGTGAAAATTTGATTTGTTATGCATTATATATAAGAACCCACGACAATACTTCCAAATGCCCAAATATTACAATCTAAGCAGTATTTAGAAAAAATTACCCTAAGCTTTCTCTAAATATATCCCGCAAGTAACTTCGCACTGCCGTGTTAAATTTTCGCCTATTCGGGTGGGTGACTATTTGGTTCAATAAAATAGTTCCATGAAATGAAATTTTCCGTTCAACCGCCCTGGGCGGATTTTCGGAAAACCGCGGTAAGCGATATCGCTAAAAGAAATCCATTGAGGCAGTGTGTTGTGCCAGCATTGGTCTGCACTCGACTCCTTTTCGTCCACCCTCAAGTGTACAAATTTGGAAATAAAAGCAAAACAATTCCAGGAAACGCCCCGCAGGCCTTTTAAAACAGCTCATTAAAAGTAACGCCTTGTTATTTCTAGGATTGAGCGAACTATGTTTGAGTGCCTGTCTGTACCTCCCTCTTTCAATGCAATTCAGATATGCATTAATGATTTTCTCCCTGAAATTATTATTATTATTTTTGTATATTTGCCTCTCCTATCGAAATGAACAACAAGAGCAAGTAGAGGAACTATATTTTTTCCATACATTTTTGTTTTAATATTATTCTTACATCATTTGAATTGATTGAGTGTTTGAAAGAGTGAGATAATGTGAAGACAATATTGACTATTTGGTGCGGCTACACAGCCGCTCAACCCCAGAATGATTAAGGAAAAAGGGAAGAAGACAGGGAAAATCTCGTTATGAGGAATTGAAAGAGTCAAAGAATTCTTCTCTTTAGGTTGCCACTGTCCGCAATGCCAGTAACAACTATCACAATAAATTTGGAATTAATCCATTTAGAATTTAATCTTCATTTTTTGTGTGCGTGTGTGTGTGCGTATGTTTGTATGAGAGCACGTCTTCGATTGTCCAGAGTTAAATAAGCGGTCTACTGATTTATTAAAAGTAGTGCTGATATTTTGAAATCACCAGAGCCGGCCTGGCATTACATTGGGAGTGGAATTTTAAAGGTTGGATGGCATTTCGCTATTTTACTGTACACAGAGATGCGGAGTTCCCCGGCCCCCCTCCCTTTCCCTTCTAGGAATTCTCGCCTTTCGTCATTGCCAGGAGGTCCTTATAAATCCGTGAATTAAGGAAACGTGGATAGGAGTCACGCTGCATTAGGGTGTAGATCTGCAGTTGGGCTTCATCGAATGTGTGCGGTGTTGGTTGAGTCATGTTTCTGTTGATCACATCCCGGACACGCGAATCCAGACTCACCTACAGTAAAATTTGGAAGTTATAACTGGTTGAATATTTTGTTTTCCTTTTAATCTGGACTCTATCATATAAATATTTGCAACGCAATATTTCAATTTCAATTTCTCTCCTTTAAGTGGCTTTAAATATGAAGAATATCATCGATAAATTAATCTCGAAAATCGAAATACACTTTGCGCTCAAAGAAAAGTTAAGTTGACATGAGAATTTGATAAATTCTTTCGTGGTAGTTTTAATAAGGGTGGTAATTATTCTCCAACTTATTCTGGCCAAGATTGGTAACCACCTAACAAAATAAAAAGACACGGTTTGGGGAAAAAATCAATAGAAGAAACCCGGTGTTTCAAGAGACAATTAAAACAATGGCCTCCTTTAATTTCCACTCAACTTATCGGTAGCTAAAAGACCAAACTTCAAGAATATGCTCAACTTATTCAATGATGTATGCATGAATGCATGAAGTTATTGAAAGTGTCCATAGATGAGTAGTGGATAAATGTACTCATAAAAAGGACAGAATTCGGAGACTAAAAAAGACAGGATATGGTATTTATTCATTTTAGATTCACAAAATCCCCAGAGGCTTGTATTCAGTTCCTCACAGAGGAAAAGTGGTGGGGTATCAATACTAGCCTCCGGGGTACTGGAGATCAATTTAAGCGGTTGATGACAAATATTTAAGTACTATTGAAGTGCTAGGAAGCATACCTCCTTGGGTGAGAGAATGGAAATGTAGTCCTCGTAGATGAGCCGAGCCTTTTCTTCCACAGCCTTGGAGTACGTCTCCTCTTTGAGATCTTCACATGCCAGCCAAAAGAGGATATTCTCCTCACTGTACTCTGACCGCAAAAACTCACGAAAGGCCTTCTGTCCAACTGCCCATGAGAGAAGGGAAGTGAGTAAATGTATAGTGTTTGCTAGCAAAGAGTTGATCCTATTCGTCTAATTCTCCGGCATGCGCAAGAAAACTAGCAAGGCTTAAGCGATTGTCAACTATTATAGGGAGAAGCTAAATTGGTAACTCTGTGTGTAGCCAGCGGTGCCCATCACTCGAGAAGTGTTGGGCGTGGCGTGAAATCATTGGACGCCTGGTCTCGCCACCTTTTGACCGTCTTTCAAACACCATATAAGTCCTGTGTCGCCTCAGATCTTTGCTTGCCACATCTAAACCTGGCTGTCTAATTTTCCAACTAAAAGTACATTTGTCCGCCACCTATATAAATGACCTTGCACACACACGAGCCATTACCCCCATCACCCCCCTCATCAATACACACACCCACACAGTCCCTCATCTTTTCCCAGTCTCTCCTGGCCTTTTCCCCCTACTCCTAATCTACTTTCACCTGCGGTGCTGCTTTAATCAAACAAACAAAAAATAAACAAAGCCAGAGAGGTGTTGGAGTTACCTGCTCCTTCGGGGGAGGTAAAACATCGCATGAGATTGTCAAAAGACTCCGACCAAGAAAGCACCTCCTCATAGGACGTCCTAAATTAGTGGAAAGGTTAGTGTGAAAGTATGAGAGCGAGTTTGTTGTATCATCAAATTCAATTTTGCGACATTAACACTGATCAATGGTAAGGTGCATACAAGTCCAATTACTGCATTTATTCATATCAAATGGCAGGCGTTTTGATAGTTATCATCAACCCTTTAGTTGACTTCGGGCTTCATAGGTAGGGGGGAGGGGGCGAATATCACAATGAGAAAAAGTGGGGAGTGAGAACAGAGGAGTAATTCACAGATGTAGTGACAGACGCAAATGCGGAGAAAAGGTATGATGAGCACTGTGAAAGTGGCTGGATAAGACACACATTGGGGTCATGGGGTCAGAAGTCAACTGCCGGTTAATAGACCTTTTTGCCGAATGAGTATACGTTGCCCAGGGAGCACCACGTGGAGGTAGGCCTACCGCACACAGCTTTTTCACAATTACAACATTAGAACAAGAAATTGTCCCTATAATGTTGGTTAACTTTCGCATTTCTCTGTTGTTTTGGTTCTTCGCAAATCAAAATCTTGCCAATGTTCTAATAATACGGTCATAGCCTCTCTCTCAAATAAGAAACATTATCATTCACTTAACCACGGCCTGTGTGACCTATTTCCAGATTCGATAATTATCATTTAAACTCACCAATATATTATAAAAAATTAGGACAAAATGATATAGAAGGAGCCGATATCGTCATCCTTAGACAGGAAAGTCAGACTATGATTTTGTCACACTTATTTGAGCAGCCATTGATTGATGCCATGTTGAGCACAGAACACTCTTTATCGTGGCATTACTTCCAGAAGGCAATCTCCTTTCTAACAGCTAGGAAACATCGTTTTCTCATATTCTACTAAGGAATATGGCGAAAAATGAGTGGAGATGAACATTCAATGAAATGGGATATGAATGATTTAATTTTTTGTCACTTAACTGACCTTGGCTCGAGTAGTTGGGCTTCAGGCCGATGGGGTTCGTCTGTACTGTGCGTAGATCGTTTGCCAGTCTCCATCAGTGGCCGGACTCGGACACTACACCACAATGAAAAAGAAGATACCGTAAATTTTCAAATTCTACCGACCCAAATGCATTAATCGAACACATAGTATGCTTAAACGCTGCAAGTGTAAATAGAAAATTGACCGATATCTCAATAAGATATGTGCGGCAGTATTAACAACAAACGCATTGGTGTTCAATTAGCCATTATGACTTAAAGCAAATGATAGATTTAGAGTCAGCTTTCTACTGAAGTCTAACCATAACGCACTCTCGCAGCTCATCAACACATGTGAAGAGGTTTCTCAGCACATATCGCGGCGATATATTCCACAGACAATCCACAACCTCGACTTCAACCTTGAGGTGTTATGAACATCAAGTTTCGTCTTCAGAAGCGAGAACCCCCGCCTTTAAAGGACCCAGGAAGAAGCTGTCTATTGAAGAATGGCTGCATAGATTAGAGGGGGAAGTTCCCTTCAGATTGGATGTAAATGAGGTTTTGCGCCCTAATTGCCACTGTTTATCTTAATTCATTTAAGTACACCACAAATCAGAAGGTCATGTTCTCTGTTTGTATTGGGTTCAGCCTAAATCCACTCAAGTACTCTTTCGAGAATCTAGCACCTGCGAAGTAACGGAGTACATCGCCCACATTACCACTCATTTCCCAAGCTATTTCTTCTTTACCGCGCGGCTATACATCCGCATATCTGAATAGTGCTACACATCTTCTACTCATTAGCAAACGGCCACATAAACGAAATGAATAAGTACTTAAACTAAAAGTAAATGAATCCCAGCGCATATGCCACTCGACTAGACATCGTTGGTACCCAGACTCACCAGGAACAAGAACAGCAACAGCACCAACAAAAGCAACAGGGCCGCGACCGAGAGTCGGCATCCAACGAGAGTGTGCTGTCCATCTTCAGCATTGGAGTGCCAGGATTATCTGTCAACGATATCACATTGGTATCAGAGGATGGTCGCACGGGTTTGTTTACGCACCCCGTCGCCGAAGTACGCCGATTTAGAGGGGAAATCGTGCCGATACCACGTTTGGAAAAAACAGTGGCTGATTGGATGGAGTTGGCGGATTGAATAATTCGATTTCCACCGCCACCGCCTCCACCTGTGGAGGAGGAAGGAGAACCATTGCTGCCACCACCCGATTTTGGTACGCCGCCAACTCCAACGTCACCTTCACCACGAACACACTGTGACTCACTTGAGATCTGCTGAAAACACCCCCAAAAGACCGTAATAGCCACATAGGTAAGGATTCAGTCACACCTAGACAATCCAGTCGGTTGATCCAGGGCATTCTCCTATAATTTAATAGGACTGTCTCCAAGACCCTACCAATACGCCCTAATTATTTAGTTTCAAAACTAACTGTGAATGTTGCGATACGCTCTATAGTCTTTCTGATGCTAATCTAGCACAGATCTCTCCTGCAATACATTTCAAATACTTGGTTTAGATTGGCAATAGACAAACCTGCTTGAGAGGGAATTCCTCGACATTTTCAAAAGGATTTTCACAGGTCGGATTTACCACCCTATGAGAAGCCAGTGTAGTTGACATCTGACTGTGTACCACAGTTGACGGGTGTGTCTGTGGCTGAAGAGGAAGTGAAGGATGTGGATTAGCACTGGGAAAAAATTCGCCTCGGTTATTGACGATTTTCGTAGCGGTGCCGTCGAACCCTGCGTAATTTTGATAGCTACCCGCAGTATTGAAGAAATCCTCCTTATTATTCAAACCCTGTTGTTGTGTTTGTGGGTGAGCAGAAGGTCTGTGTTGTTGCCAGGGCACCATCCAACTGCCATCTCCTCCTCCTCCTCCTCCACCTCGTCGTGGAGATGCCAGTGTCAATGTCCCGGTTGACATGGGAGTCGGTGTGCAGGAAGGCGGACAGATTGCAGAAGAGGACTCAGCCGAGGAATTGTACATGCAGTTATTGAAGGCCAACTCATTGGAGAAGCGTCCACAAGTCTTCTCTCTACAACGGGCATGCAGAAGGTGTGGATGAGGTACAGACTGATTGAACCGAATGAAAAACCTTCTACATAATACACAATGAGTCCAATAATTAAGGGAAAAGACGATGCAATTCCGTATTCTAAGACTTACTCCCTAATATTCATTTTTCTGAGTCAAAGATACTAATTGGTGTGCGATAGACTTACCTCCACGTGGTGCACCCTGGGCAACGTATACTCATACGGCAAAAAAGTCTATTAACCGGTAGCTGACTTCTGACTTCAAACTACCATGGCCCGACTACTTGTCATATTCGACCCCTACACAGTACTCATCTTACATTTTTCTCTATCTTAGTGTTTGTCTGCCTCTTTTACATCTGTGAATCGCTCTTCTGTTCCCCACCCCTCGACTTTCTTCTACTTTGATTAACCTTCCCTCTATGAAGCCCGAAGTCAGCCATTTGAAATAAATAAATAAATAAAATAAGATACTAATTGTGACAAAAGAGTATAATACTCAATGTCCTGTGTACTGATTGGTGGAACTGATTTGCAAAATGGAGAAAAACGCGTAAACAAAGCAGAGACGTGAGCTCTTTTTCAACCCCCCCCCCTCCCCCCAAATATCATAATTTTAAATAAAAAAGTAAAAACGTTCAATGATAGATCAATTCTTACCACATTCAAAAGTATTTTCTTCGAAAACAAAAACGACACAGAAACTAATAAAAAAGAAGCAGGACAAAGGCAATTTCTAACCATTTGCAGAATTATAATAATCTCTTGGTTGCAAATTGACCTCTAATGGGATTTGCATAGGCAACATCGAATTCGGGGGGGGGGGGGGGGGGGAGGGTATAGACGCTGATTAGATCGCATTCAGTGGGAAAGGAGCGTTTCTGCCTGGAAATACTTACTTCAACAGATCACTCGCTTACACGACTTTTTTTGGAGCCATTAGCATTTTATCTCCTGCTGCCACAAATTTTTTAAGTCGGAAAATAGCTACCTAGTTGTTGTAATTTTCTTATTCTCCTCGAATTGTGGGTTTCGGCGCGGCCCCCAAGGAATTTAAATTAAAAGGTGACACTGAGATTGTTTTTTAAATGCGCTGACGAGTGTGAGACTCACTGCAAGTTGGGATCCGAATGACCCCTAGGGGAGTTGATCCAGTGATCAGCGGTGAGGTGGTTTGCAGATAGATCCCAGGAGGAGGAGGCAGAGGAGGAGAAGGAGGCAGTGGCCTGTTGCTGTTGCCGCGTCTGATGGTGTTGAGGTCCATGTGATGATTGGTTGATGTGGTGGTGGTGGGGGTGGTGGCTTGGGGTTGTCGTAGAGGCAGCATTCCAATAAAATAAGTCATCTCCCAATCGACTCAATACCATGCCGACTTCGTTTGATTTAGGGCAAGGGGGAGGTCCTGGGGTGGAGGAATGATGATGTGAAACTGAACCGCCACTGTTACCGCTTCTCTCGTCTAGCACGGGATGAATGAACACTAAGGGACCGCTTGCCATCTACAACACATAGCCAAGGAGTGTGCGGTTTAACTTTTCACATTAAGCAACCTTGTCAGTCCATGTCTCTGCAAACATCAGACGCGATTTAGTGAATAATTTCATATCAGCTTTTTATAATTGACCTTGTCGTAGCTGGCAACATTGATCCTCTTTCCAATTACGATGATCAAAGTCAATCGGCGAGATTTTGCCATCAACACAGATCTTTCCAACTCCAGAAGAAGCCCAATCGTTTATCAGACTCGAAGGTTTTTTCCCTACACCATTCCGCACTAGCCTCTAACAATTTCTGTGTTTTTTTTATCAACTCTCTCTACCCAGATGTATTCCTCCTCCAAAATCGACTGCTACATTCCATCTCCAGCTGCGCATTAAAGCAGCGCTTTGCTTTCCAACGCCTAAAAATGAATAATTCAGGCAAACTACTCTCTCCCTACCTGCAACTCATTACCTCTCTCTCTCTCTATCATTAAGATACTCCACTTGTAAGCGACACTTTACCCTAGTCGTCTATTTTCTGCCAAATATTTGTAATTTGACACACAGCGACTTTGGCATTTATCCTCCTACAGGTTTTAACAACCGGGTGGGTCATCAAGTTCCATGAATATCCGTTGGTGCCTTTCGATACAATCGGCTCTAGCCTGCTTACGATAAGTGATATGACTCAGATCGATAAGGGAAAATATTCTGATAAAAAGAAAACAAAAGTATTATATCTAACTTTGCCTGTAGAGTTATGTAAGCAAATAAAAGATCAATATTTAATAATGACACACATTCATGATACTGAGATTGGAATAATCGGGCCTTGTATCCGGTATTTGAACGAGAACGAATTGTATATATATATATATATATTATTTAAAATTATAATATACCTCCGATGAAAAGCTGTGATCGAGACTAAGGACGTTTGTAAGAGTACTTCAAATAATTAAACGAAGGATCGTAGTCTAGAAGGTTTCCAGAAGGCTTAGCAAGTGGGACCCGAAATTGGAATATTGTCAGACTTCCACAATTGATAACCATAGCTCCGAGTGAAAAAGCATCTTTATTGTTAGATATTGTGTCATGTAGCGGATCATCCACTACCAGATTCATAAGACCGAGAGCCCCAAAAGAACAGTGTTCATTTCCGCGGACACCCCACAGTTACTTGGAAGCTCCTAACCCCACCACTTTGACAATAATTCACTAGGATTTAGGCTGTTAAAAAAGGCAGATTGGAACGCTAAAAGTTACATATATAATACTCTCATTTCTTTTCTAAAATTCATACTTATTTATGCAGTTTCGTCTATCCAACATGTTTTGGTTGAGTTTAAACAGAGGCGGACCCGTTGTAACAGGCTGAATTAGACGCAATTCATCGTAGATGAAGCCTTTTGGAAGACCACATGCCTTAGACTCTAAATCGTAGTGATAATATCCTTCATTATAGATAAAGTTTAGTCTCTAAAATTGTTCAAACCATGTTGATTTAATTAGATAAATTAGAGCTTTAAAAATTGGTCTAATTTTGCAGAGAACTACTAGTTACAATAAGGGGGTGGAAATGTCATGATTCACCGGAAAACCACCATGCTAGGAGGATATTTATTCGGACAAGTAAGGTCATATTTCCTGATTTGAGGACCAATAATTGCATGAGTAAGAAAGTGCGAATCCGGTGGGATACTTTTGAGAAGTACGATTTAACCTTTAATCACACATTTTGTACAAATCGTAATAATTGAAATGCATGAAGAGAGGTTCACAATCACTGGAGGGAAATTTCTCAAAATTACGTTAAAATATTTCAAGCTCAATTACATACCACCAGATATTGAACTGGCAGAAGTTATAGATTTTGATAAAATCGATCTATCTACTCTAGTTGCACTAATTACATATAAATCCACTTTTAAATGTTTCGTTAATGTTTAACAGTAAAGGGAGGGGGGGTGTACGATAGACTTACCTCCACGTGGTGCACCCTGGGCAACGTATACTAATACGGCAACAAACGTCTATTAACCGGCAGTTGACTTCTCACTTCAAAATACCATCACACCACTGTATATCATATTCAATTAATTCTACGGTACTTACCTCACCTTTTTTCTACCATTGTGTCTGTCTCTTTTACATTTTTGAAACACTCTTCTGTTCCCCCCCCCCGCCCTCTTGACTATTTTTTCACTTTGATGTTCCTTCCCTCTGTGGAGCCTGAAGTCAACTAAAGGGCTAATGATAACCATCAAAAAGCCTGCCATTTGATATAATAATAATAATAACAGTAAAAAGGGTATTGAACCTTGGAACTCGTCTCGTTAATGTTAACTAAAGAAACATCAACAATTATGCTGGTGAATTTTGATGTAATTTCGTCGAGGTATTGAGGTATTTGAGGTATTACATTTGAAGAGCTTGGAGGAGCTTTAATCTCTTGTTGTTGTCTGGGCAAAGCAAATCTGCCTGCGAGGTGAAGTTAGCATCTGAGGGAATCAACTAAATAGCCAGACATGGTTGTTTGTGTGTGTGTGTAGTACCCATATTGTGGTTTCTATTAATAGTAGATTAGGATGTGTAAGATGGAGGTGTGCGATAAACTTATCTCCACGTGGTGCACCATGGGCAACGTGTGATCATACGGCAAAAAAGTCCATCAACTGGCAGTTGACTTGTCACTTCAGACTACCATGGCCCGACTACATGTCATATTCGACCCCGTCCACAGAACTCATCTAGCCTTTTCTCTGCCTTTATGTCTGTCTGTCCCCTTTACGTCTGTGAATTGCTCTTCTTTTCCCCTGTCGAATTTTTCTTACTTTAATGTTCCTCCCTTCTGTGAAGCCCGAAGTCATCTAAAGGGCTAATGATAACTATCAAAATGCCTGCCATTTGAAATAAATAAATGATGTGTAAGATGGGTAGACCGTGGAATCTGTGTTTATTCGTGAAAATTAATTCCAATGGTAGTTAATTAATGGAAGTATTGTTAAGTAAGTACTTTGATTGGTGACTATTGCCAACTGAGCATTCACTAGTAAAAGTCAATTAAGCTGCTTAATATCGTGGTATGATC